CCAGGTAAAGGTCTGCAAGGAAAACCTGTTAATTCCATTATTATAACCTTGCATAAAAGTGGCCGAAGTCCACCTAGTAACATGAGAATGATTGGAAAGCTAAACACAGTGGCATGGTGTTAGAGGCAAGACAGAAAAGCATGGCCTCTTCTTCCTGCTCCTGAAAAAGAGATCTAGTCAATTTAAATTCATAAAAAGGGCTATTATCTGTGGAATAAAGACAAGATCTTACTGTGGAACTAGCCTATGAGAACAATTAGACAATAGCAAATCAGAAGTTATCTGTGAAAGCAATTAAACAATGGGAAACCAGTGAAGGATAACTTGCCCAGGAGAACCCCTTTGAGCTCCAAATTTTTTTTCTGTCTAATGAGAATAAAAGTCCAGGCTCCTATACTTCAAACTGTGGCCAGTAGTCCCCCAAACAAACTAAGATTCCTGCTGGCATTTCTTTTACTACTGTGTGTTGTCCTGAGACATTTCCAAATACAGTAAAACAATGGATGATGGATTAGGGTCTATACCTTCATTGGCAGGATTGGTACGGCTCATGCTTTATATACAATATGCATGCTTCCATTGTCTCTGTGATAAAATGGGTGTGAACACCCAGTTCTAGCTAGTGAGGGGAAATTCCAAACAGGTGGAAATCTCAAGTTACATTCACACTGCTCTCCTCAAACAGATAAAAGGGCTTCAGCATGTCTCCACAAACCACTTTTAAGAACATTCATTCCGTAAGATCACCACTCAGTGCCAGTATGTGGCACTGAACCTGTCCTGTAGGAGAGGGATCTCAGATAACAGTGGATGACAAATGCTACTGGGGACTATCTTCTGGCTGATTTCTGCCTTCTTTCAATGATAGAGGTTAGGTACTGGGCAGTAGTTCAGCAGGTCATTAAAGATGAGTGATGGTTTCCTCTGTGCTACATTCTTAAACCCTAGGGCAGTCAGTAAGTTTGTTAGTTTTTCCAACTGTCCCAAATAACATTTTAAAAAAATCCACCAATTTGTGTTCTTCCTTTCAAAAGGAGTGTTGAAAATGTCTGTCTATCACAGATTCAGAGATTGTGTGCTCTTTTATCACCTTTCAGGAAGGGCAAGATGGGGACGGGAAAGGGCAGCGAGCAAGGAGGGGAAGAGAGATCAACAGTTTGTATACCCCATCCCCAATGGTAGCCACAGTTCTCACTGGTATTTACAGGCTCTCCTTTTTTTTTTTTGGAAAGGATTAAATTACCCCAAGAAACTGAAATTTCTGTTGTCCAAACTAGCCACATGTCAAGAGCACAATTCTGCTAAGAGTTAGAGAGATATTTTCTGAATCAATGTGTTTTGTGCAAGATTTTACACAGAGCTTTGTGTTTAAAAGGGTGCTGAAAAGTCACCTTTGATTCCCATAGTTTAGGGGCTTTGTTCATTCAACAATTAGCAGGGTAAAACTTACATATTCTAAGCACATGCTGGAAATGGATCAGCTGTTCTAGAGATCTATTGCATTCAAAGATAGGATGCAATCCCAACATGTTTCTCACAGACTGTGGGACATGTGAATACATTTGGAATGGGGAAGGCATGTAGAAGAGAATTAAGCAATAAGGCATCCTGGCAGATAGCGCGAGTTCCCACTCGGACAGGAGCACTAATGATTCCTCTTTCTAAAAAAATGAGCAAAGATGGTGTGATCATTAACAAATGTCTACAAATGATCAGATGAACATCAATGGCAGGAGGAGAAGATAAACAAGAATAGGTGAAAAAATAGTTACTGAGATCAACGAGGGTATTACGACACATGAGCCTGACATATGGGATATGGAAGATCTAATGTGGTGTAGGGTGCAGAGATAAAAATAAAGGAGATGCAGAGTCAGAGCCTCTGTCATCCTTGAGGTTTACTGGGTAAGTTTCCCTCCAACTGTCTTCTGCCATACCACTTTTTCACCTGTTTTTAAAATGTCTCAGTTCCTCTCCCCTCCTCTCCCTTTGTCCTCCACTTACTTCAGTTGCTGCAAATTGAATTCAAAGTATCAAAGTAGTTTCTACTCAGTTAACTCAGCAAGGGGGAGAGGAGGCAGAGGAATCTTGCCCTTCCCAGTAGATTCAGGCAAAAACAAACTGCTGTAACTTTTCCTACCTTGTGTGCTCTTTCTTATCAATAACTTTTGCCATTTTAATCACACTGTTTTGTTGCTTGGCCACACATGTCCCACTTTTTATATATGAAATATTGGAATGTATGGTAAAGTTGAGCCAAGTCACTTTCCCTTGGTCTAACCAACCTATAAAGGTTGTCGCAAGGATAAATTGGAAGGTTGTTTGGATGAGTGGTGAAAATTCAATAGAGAGGCACTCTTTCTGCTGCTTTATCTATAGATGTACACTTGGCCCTCTGTATCTATGGCTTCTCCATCCATGAATTCAACCATCCATGGCTTGAAATTATTCTTTAAAAAATCCAAAAAACAAACCTTGTTTCTGTAATTTTGTAATTTTGTAATTCTGTAATTTTGTAATAAAAACCATTTTACTATGCCACTGTATATAATGGGATTTGTGCATCTACGGATTGTTGGTATCCAGGGGTGTGTGGATCCTGGAACCAAATACCTATGGATACTAAGGGCCCACTGTAGATATAAAAATCAAACCTCAAACTCAAAGGTCTGATTTTTTATATCCAAGCATGAAGCTAGGAATTTAACTTTCAAAAGAGACACAAAAGAAAATATGCATGACTTCCTTATTTATTTTCAAAAATACTTTCATACTCTGAATGTGCCGAAGTGAGTCTCTGGAAATGGGCAGCCTGAGATCTCAGTCTCTTTTAGGTTTATAAGAATTTGCCCTAAGCTGAATTGCTGTTGTAACTGTCCTGCCAAATATAACACAATGTATAGTCTAATATGTATCAATCAGAAATTCTTTTTTGATTTAGAAAATTCTGCACTGAGGAAGTAAATCCAATTAGGCCTATGAGAAGTGGAGTCCTTTTTTCTTTTCTTTTCTTTTCTTTTTTTTTGGTAATGTGAGTTTCTTTTCTCTTTCTTTTGACATAACAAAGTTTGATTGCCAAAGTTTCCCTCTCCGCACTTGTTTCTCCCTCTCTGTATTTCTAAAGTAAGATAAAACCATGGCAGCTTCCTTATGAGAAGAGAGTATTTATCTGGTAACATTTTGACTTTCAAGCCCAGAAGTTTAGCAAGGAAGGAAGCAAGTGGCATTGGTCCTAAAGCAGCACCAGCATCTAAAACAGTGTCCAAAGGCTGCTCTTCCCCAGCCGGCACTAAAAAATGAAGCTGATCCTTCTCTCTAGCAAAGCCCTTCTTTTCAGATGCTACTCAGGCAGGTAAATTTCACTTCAACTACTCTCCACAATATGAATTAGTATGACTGCAAATTTGAGTTGGCAGAGAAACCAAGTAACTGTCATGACACAATGCCAGATTAAGCTGTTGTGATTCCAATGAAATCCCATAAAGTGTAGTAATTACATGAAAATGGGAAGGGAACCCTTTGCTACTTCCCTTGTCTAGTCAGTATAACTTCTAAAGGTATCTATACCTAAAAACTAGAGATTGGAAGTTATTTTGGACTACAGCTCCCAGAATCCCCCATGGCCAAACTATACATATATAGGCTTTGCATATATGCTCACTGACCCTGTTCTTTGCTCCTTCAGGGAACAGTGGATTGAAAACTTTGGGTCTGAAGTGAAATGTAGTTATACTTAAAAGTATACCCACTAAAATGGATTGAACCTTAGTCTTGATTTAAGGACTTTTGTGGGTATTCTCGAAGTATGACTACATCCAGAAGAACATATTAACAACTAGGAGGCCAGCCAAGAGCTAGAAAAGGAGGCTGTCTTTTCATGTGCAACAATGGAACAGTAAAGTTGACAACATTGTAAAGGGGCCAGTTATTCCATAAGAGAAAGGACTTCTCTTATTCCCAAGGACTGTGTGTTACTATTATAACATCATAGCTCTCCACCAAGCTCCAGAAAACTTTAAAGAACTGTGGGGTGCAATTTTAGTTTCCTAGGGTGTTAACCCTTTTAAAGGGAAATAAAAATATGCAAGTATCAAAGTGTGAGTCCAGCTATTTTATTCTAAATATGCTTTCCTAAAAAATAAAGACTAACTAAAAAAAAAATGACAAACATGTAGTTTGCAGTTTAAAAACAAACAATAATGGTTTTAATAAATATTTACATAAAATAACTAAAACTTAATCTAACTGGAGATGGTTTGGGTAAAGAGAAATAAATCTCACCATCTTTTAGATAGCAGAAAGATGGGACAACGACAAGCTACTGCTTACTGGCTGCTTGAAGCAGTTTAGAATCTTGGGAGAGAGCTGCTAAACTGCTTTCCAAGAGTGACAGGAGTCACATGATAGATAGAACGAGAGAGGGGGAGGGAATCCCTGTCTAACTAAGGAGAGTCAGGAGAATGCAATGCATAATTCTTCAACAAGAACTAAATGCCCTTTCTCAATAATTGAAATATCTATTAACTAGTTTTTTTATCAAGTTAATTGACTTAAACTGCTTTGTAATTCTTTCTACCCAAGGAACCATAATTCAAAAACATTTCTCACTATGCTTCAAAGCCATGAGAGCCTGTAGGCTGAGCAAGGGGAGAAGTGTGTGGAAGAAAGCAACCTTCCATTTGGCGCACAATCTGCCTGTGCATCAGAGGTTGCCATGACTGTTCTAGTGATATGAAACCAATATATGTTTGCTTTGGTGTGTAGATGTACCTGGTGTATTTCACTGCTCTGGAAGAATGATGCAGGGGCAGGCCAGAACCCATCACTTATGGGGGTTGACATTTCTTACCTTTTGTTGTTGTGTGTCTTCAAGTAATTTCTGACTTATGGCAACCCTAAGGTTTTCTTGGCAACCATGGGCTTTTCTTGGCAAGATTTGTCATTGCCTTCTCCTGAGGCTGAGAGCATATGACTTGCCTAAGATCACCCAGTGGGTCTCAAGGCTGAGCTGGGAATTGAACCCTGGTCTCCAGAGCTGTAGTTCAACACTCAAACCACTACACTACACTGACGCATTTCTTATCTAACGTTATCACATGGGGCAAATCTGCTGGTTAATCCACACAAATCCCA